CAATAATTTGCACCTTGTGTCTGTCAAACATCTGCACAGTGACAGACATTTTTCCCAATCCCACATTGTACTGATATACCAATACAAATTTGCACAATTTACGGACATAGTAAGTTGGACCAGGGAGATGTAAAAAATAAAGGAGGGAGCTCGAAGTTACTTAGCTGAAGGCTACCCGCTGTGAATCAATTAACAAGCAGTGCACTATGGTTTCTTCAAAGTCGGAAGGTCGCTTAATCCTCCCTGCGGCTACGAAGGCCGTTCGCGTTATCTTCTTTGAAACCCAAGGCATCCACCGTCCAAATTCAGCCCTCTATCGTTAATATTTTGTCTTGAGAAAAGATGTGCAAGCCACCAAATAATATTTTTACATGCGCAATTGCTGTTATAATCAGTCTGTACATGCGCAGTGACGTTGAATTGAAACCCCGCGAAAATACCAACTCAGACATACCAAGGTCGACATTGTTCTCCGATAATTAGGCGAGCAGTAGACTGTTGAGTATTGCGATGTATTATTTTGTACTCATTTTGTTTTTAATATTTCGGATCGAATAGCCATCGCCAGTCACCTGATTTTTTGGGACGAAAAGGTAAGATGATAAATAAAACACACAGTCGTGTTTTCCATGGTTCCCGGGGGTGCCCGGCTGAGATAGAGCTTAGTAAAGTTGGTCTATTTCGTGTGCACCGCACTGTCCCGGTTTGCAATGCTTCCGGGTATGTCGGCAAGTACCGCAGGTCTACCCAGCTAGGCTATGCTGGATGATGTCAATTTTGCACCTAGCCAGCGTACTACTAGTAGTAGGCCTAGGCTAGACTACTGTTGTAGGCCTAGACTAGTTTTTTTTTTTTTTTTATCTCGGCGCAGACATAAGCATAACCAGCCTAGCTTCTAGACTAGCCTATAAGGTGCCTTCTATTAATTATTGTACTAGGCCTAGTACTACAATAATACTACTACTATCTAGGCTACAACAAAGCTATGTTTAAACAGGGAGATGTAAAAATACATCTTCCTGGTTTAAAAATGGCTTGTCTAACTCTAGTGTGCGTTCCTTTTTTTAAGTTGGCAATAATGTTAGACATATATTAAAAAGCTACGTCAGGCCTGCATGAGTGCATCAGGTAGATGTGCGTAATTAAAATCATCGATCAAAGAATTTATACCGAGTTATAACATTGGATGTTGATAGTAAAAATTGTAATTTTTTTGGTTTTTTTTCTTTTTGTAAAATATGTCTATGAAATCCTGCTTAAGTTAATATACTAGGCTTATTACTAAGAATTTTTTTTTTTTTATAGCGGCCAGATGGAAGGACTTTGTCGACTTTGTGGTTCTGATGCCATTCCTTTGGATAGAAGGCCTTATCAGAAAGAGAATTTTGCTATACAAATAGAACGAGCATTTGGTATTAATGTTGGCAAAGATGTTGACTATCATCCAAAATTTGTGTGTACATCTTGTGTACGATCATTAAGAAGGTGGTGGGACAAGGCAAAGAAAAACAAAAAAGCTACCCTAAATATTAAACTTGTAGATTTTTCATCAAATAATCAGGAAGATACAGCAAAGCCTCTAATAAACTGGGATGAGATTGCATCAGTTGCTATGAGACATAAACTGTGTCATTGGGAACAGGAAGGTGTGCATATGTTTGCATCAGTATCGCTTAGTGGCCAGGCTTCTAAATACATAAAATTTAATGGAAGTGATTGGGATGCATATTCAAATGGTGTGCAAATACCAAAAACTACCCAGCTTTTGAAGGGATTTAATGATAAAGTAGTTGATACAACCAGTATTTTGGATTTAGTTGAATGTATTTCCAAAGCGTACATTTGCACTGGAAATACAGATTTGCAGATTAACCACAAGGAGAAAGAATGCCAACTACTTGTTGCCACGGAAGGGCGTTGTTTCCCATGCAAGATTCATCGCAGTGACATGATGTCACTTGCTGCCAAGCGACGCAAAGCTCCCCCTGTTGGAGACATATTAGCATCAAAAACTAGAAATGATCAGTTGCCACGAGCGCTTTTAAGTGAAAAGGCAGCTAAATTGAAGAATCAAAATAAATGCTTAAAACGAAGGAGCGAAACTCTGCAGGATAAAATTCATAAACTAATTAACGATGAATCAGAAGGAGTAGAGCAAAGGCATGCACAAGTCATGGCTGCTGCAATTGAGAAGGAAGATGATGATGAGCTAATACAGGCATTACAGAACAATCCAGCTGCTAAGCTTTTGTGGAGCCAACAGAAAGATGCTTTTAAAAAAAACAAACAGATGCGCTGGCACCCAGCAATGCTAAGATGGTGTATTGCACTGCATTCAAAATCCACCTCAGGATATGAATTGATGAGAAGCAGTGGATTTCTGAAATTGCCCCACCCAAAAACACTCCAAAAATACACTCACTTCACATCACCTCATCATGGGATCAATGAAGGCTTCATTGACAGAATTTGTTCTGACAATGATGTTGCTAACATGTTGCCACATCAGAAGAACATTTCCATACTCATGGATGAGATGAAGGTGAAATCTGGCCTAGTTTACAACAACCGATCTGGCTTACTTGTAGGCTTCACTGATATTGGTGACCTGGCAAATGAGATGTCAGATTTCGAGATGAGATGCAGTGGAAACTCTGAACCTCATTTAGCCACACACATACTTGTGCTGATGGCAAGAAGCATTTGTGGTCAGTTGCAAGCCCCCATTGCATACTTTCCTACAATGAGCATCGGCAGCAGTGGCCTCTATGAAGTCGTTTGCAAAGCAATTAATGCCATGGAGACTGTAGGATTTTTCGTAAGGGCACTAGTTGCAGATGGAGCTGCTCCAAACAGGAAACTTTTTCAGTTGCTCGGTTGTTCAGAAGTCAACAGTGTCGGTGTGTCATTTTATGCCGCTAATCCTATTGATCCTGAGAGACGTATCTATTTTTTCAGTGACGCGCCCCACCTAATGAAAACTACCCGCAACAACTGGGAAAATTCTGGGTTCCACAACAAGACTAAGAAGCTTCATGTAAGCTTTTTTTTAAAATTAAAATAGGGAGTTGAATGTATATTTTTAAAAATTTTTGAACAAAAATAAACTAGACAATTATAGAAATAAAAATTTTAGGTAATCAAATAAGTATGCCCTGGTGTTCATCTGTATAGCAAAGTGATTGATTGTAAACCAGTAACTCAAAAACAACATAATTATATGCATTTAAATTTCAGAGTGCAGTTAATAACAAATAATTTTGCACTTTAATAACAATTATATTAAAATGTTTTTCCCTAGTACAAAAAACAAGATATAAAATGGACCCAACTGCTGAGGTTGTCAGAATGGGACTTGGGAATGGAAAAGCGAGCAAGTGCTGGCCTGAGACGGTTAAATAAGGTTTCTTATGAACATCTTTACCTTACACCATCACATCGAATGAAAGTGTATTTGGCAACTCAGGTAACTATACATTTCTTTTGTGATTTAACATATTAAGAATTATCTATCCCTATCCTGTGTACCTATAAATAATAATAATGTGTTATAAAATGTAAACTTTAAATAATTCTGTTTCCACTGTAATATATTTTATAGGTGTTGAGTGCCTCTGTTGCGAACGCATTCGAAGCAGAAGGCCGATCTGATACCCAGTCTACACAAAAATTTGTACGCTTCATGGATCGTTTCTTTGATTGTTTAAATGTAACCAGACCAATTACTAACCAATCAAAACCAGTCAAGCCCTCTCTTAGACCGTATACTAACGTAGATGATTGGAGATTTAAGGTAAGCTATTCTTTAGCTTAAAATTCGTACAATTTAATGACAAATTATGAAAAATAACACACAAGTACTGTATATTAAAAAATAATTCAATGCAGTTGTATACAATAAACAGCTAATGATTTATTTACATGATTATTAATAGTTATAGGCCTATAATATCTGGCACTGTTAAAAATGGAAACTAAACAGCATACTCACTGAAATTTTACATTATTCTACAGTACTTATTTGGTGGCAGTGGTTTAGGTTGCTTTTGTGCTTTCCTGGTAGCTAATGACCATGGTCCATTTAATGTACTTGTTAATGTTTTTCTGATTTGTATTATATTTTGTATATTGTATCTTTTGCCTGAATAAATAGTAATAATAATAATAGTAATTTGGGTAATTTTTATTTGATGAATATACGTCTTGTTTAAATCGGTATTTTGCCCAATTGTTTTTCCAGTGGCTAGAAGAAACTTTTCTGCCATTCTTTGATGAGTGGGAAATAGAGGTACAAAATACACCAAATGCTACAGCTGCCATGAAGAAGCAAATGTGCCTTAGTCCAGAGACTCTTACTGGTATTCGTATCACAGGTAAAGTTTTAAAATTACGGATTAAAGTATACATATAAGATACAACCTAGATGGAAGAGAATTGGCAAATAGTGGACTAATTTCTGAGGCTTAGCTCGGTTTCCATTGAATAATCGCTCACCCCATTGGCAACAGTCGTCGATAGTAATTGTTGGGAAGGTTATTTCTAGCTGCCCTGATGCAATCGGAAAGGCATCCTGATTCGTCTGTAATGACGGAAGTGGCTTTGTTTACAGATGAGACTACAGTAAAAAAAGGAGCACGAGATTGGAAGGAAAACATGTTGACTACCATGTAAAAAAAAATTAATTACTCTTTTCTCTTTACAGTTCATTCGTTCGTTCAGCTTGGGAAGCACTTGCTCTCTTCTGTTCCTGGACTTAAGTATTTGCTGAGTGACAAGTTCAACCAGGACCCCCTCGAAGAGTACTTTAGCAAGCAGCGAGGGATTGGCCGAAGTTATGACAATCCTACCGTCGAACAATTTGGACAAAACATGCTTCGTATTCATGTTGCTGGAAGTAGTATCCATGCTTCCAAAAAAGGGAACTGTAAATCTACAAATAAGCACTAGTTAGATGACACTCCTTTACCACACGCATAAATAAAATTAAAATCTCAAGTCTATTAACTTTCAAGATGGAATAATTTATTTATGACATTATGCCGAATTACTCTGTAAATGTTTTCATTGTTTACAGTACGAAAGCTTATAAATTCTACAATTCTGGAAATGTGTTGACAGATACTTTAACATTTTCAGTATTTTATGAGAGCCTATGATGTCAAATTTTTCCGAAGTGCTTTTTGTCCTTTTCGTGATACAGATGCATTTTTCTTCTTTTGCAAGTCTAAAGTGACTTTAATAAAAGCCTTTGTTCTAATTTTTATCCAATACATAAACACTTTTTGTTGTAATTGAAATGATAATTTATCTGACAATCTGCCATTCACAGCTTCACACCAACATCTGTTTACCTTTCTATTTTGGTTAAATTTTCCCATCAATATGTTATTAATGTTCAATCCTTTTAAATTGGCTAATGTTTTTGCAGATATATTTTTTTGATATTCTACTTCAATTTCTCTAAAAAGAAAAAAAATTTTATCATTAACAATAAATAAGCCACCCCGGTTTTGTCTTTGAATCCAAGAATTAGTGTATTTATAAAAACTACACTCTTCTATGTCTTCCTGGACTTTCCACATAGCTAATTCTGTGGCAAAAGCTACAGCCATTGTATTGTTCGGCAGTTTTAAGTACCGCTTTAAAAGTGCATGTGGAACATACCCAGCAGTGTAACGAAGAATCTCTTCTTCGTCTCTTGTCAATGTTAAAGAACTTGGAATGTTTTCATCATTATCATTTACTTTGTTACTTTCTAACATTAACAACTTCAAAAATTCCAATAGGAATTCTTGCAACACAATATTTGCTGGAATTTTATTACATTGTATAGTTATTTGCATTAATAAATCTTGCCATACACCAATTGTATGCATCTTCAACAACTGGAATTTTCTCCATACTTCATTGTCCTCTTCCGTTGAAAAATGCTTGTTCCTGCCCTCATCTAAGCAGTCCCATAGTTTTCCTGCAATTTCTTTAAAGAATTTTGTTAAAATTACATTGTTCTGTTTTTCTAATAGCAACCCACATATATGTCGTATTTCTATGGCATTTGGATACTGATGTCTATATATCGGTTTGGTTGGTATCCCTTGAAGAACTGCCGTCGCTATTTCTACCGCTTTGTCTACTGCCATTTGCTTGGTAAAACTCGATTTTGGCCTCAACACTGTCAAAAATAATCAAATTGTAAATTATATTTCCTTTAGCAACTTTGAAACACTGTAAACAAAAGTGCTGTGCCTGTAAATACAACAAAAGAATGTTTCAATGTTTGTTTTAAGTAATTTGTTTTCAGTTAAATGATACAGTTAAATTCATAGTAAATTTATTTTTGTTACAATTCTGAACATTGCCTAAAGTATTGTAATGGATGCTCAATGTTATGATGAAATAAATACAGTAAGAGTATTGGTAACACACCTTTTTGTTTTGTCCCTTTCTTCTGTTTTTTTGGGCTGCCACTTTTGTCCCCTTTTGTCTTAGTCGTGTTATTTGGTTGTTCCTTTGACTTAGTCGGTAGATTAGTCTGGGTTGTGCTGTTTGTTGGTGTTTCTTCACTGTTATTTCTAATTGATGATGCACCTACAAATAAAACAACATTACAGTATATATATCATTGAACAAAAGAAATTCATCAATCACTGTCGTATAACATGTAAATAAATATAACGTTAATCTCCTTGGTCTTGAGTCAATAATAATAATTACAAAAAAATTGACAATTAATTATGCAGTTTTGTTTGTAATTTTTAAAACATTAAATTATTCAGTAGGAATTAGAAATACAAATTAATATAATTCTAGCTCTACATTTTTCATACTGAAACAAAAAAAAAGTCTAAAATACGGTAGCCCTAAATATTTCTGCTGTACAGTAATGAAAAAATTATCGTAAAAGCTAGGCCTGAGCTAAGCCTGGGCCTAAGACAACTTACATTCACGCCCGCCTTTACCACAGAACCAGGCGCCCGTCGGTATGTTATGCTCCGTGAGCCCAACACATTCGTAATGGTACCATCCCACAAAACACGATGGATTTTCACAAAATATCATTTTCTGTGTACCAACATTTCCACAAATGCAAAGATTATCATCTTCACATTCATTTTCAGAATCTTCTAAGGGCTCAAGCTCATCCAATTCGTCTTCGAAATCGCTCAGATCCGAACCTAAAAAATAGTCGTCCTTACTATAAGCCGCCATCGTCACTGTACACACGACGACGCACACATGGATAATTCTGCACTTCCTGCTTTCTCAGCAGTGCTTGATATCCGATCTGGCCACACTCATTACGTAATGTATCGCCGTAAGGCGAAGACACCAATTAATTTTATTGCTTTTTAATGGGGCGGTGGCCATCAAGGATCAAAGGCCTATCTTTCGAGCTCCCTCCTTTATTTTTTACATCTCCCTGGGTTTAATTTAGTGTACTGGGAGAACGTTCCTAATATTGAGTCCAAATGGTGTGGTGGTTTTAAGTAAAAGTTCCCAGTGAGTCTCTTTATCTTTGCGATTTTTGTCGCTCCAACTGGCATTATGGTCAATTGCAATCACTCTGAAATTTGAAATTGAATGACCAGCTAAATTGAAATGTTCGGCTACTGGTTGATCAAGCTGTATCGCCGTAAGGCGAAGACACCAATTAATTTTATTGCTTTTTAATGGGGCGGTGGCCATCAAGGATCAAAGGCCTATCTTTCGAGCTCCCTCCTTTATTTTTTACATCTCCCTGGTTGGACAATGTGTCTGTCAAACATCTGCACAAATTACAGACATTTTTCCCAATCCCACTTTGTATTGCTATACCAATACAAGCATTGCATAATGTACAGACACGTCAATAATTTGCACAATGTAGGTCTCATTTAGGTCTGTCTGTCTGTCTATCTATTTGAGACAGCTGAAATTACAAATAACAGTCAAATCCTTGAATGACGCTATAGAGCAGGTAAGGGATGAACTCTCTTTAGCAATCCCTGCCAATAATGATGTGATGACCAACAAAGTGGCAGACATATGCTACAAAATTACTATAAAAGAACAGAAGGTGAAAGACTTGGAAAGCTGCATTATATTGACAAAATAATTTATAATAGTAATAAAAATCATTTTGTTATTAATATTTAATAATAACAATAATAATAATATTAATTAAACTGCAGATGACCCAATATACTGTAGGTTGAAACATTGAATCATGGCCTCCCTCTTACAAACTATTACATTATTTGAAAAATTGTATTATTTTTTTTCAATTGATGAGGAAGAGACTGTCTTTATTTGACAAGAATATTGTTAATATCGTATAAAAACTGGTTAATTTTAAATATTGCTTTATTTTTTTTTTATTTATTTATTTTTTTTTTATTGTCACATGGATATTTCCAAAACGGTTGATTTTTTAAAAATTGTTGTTACTGGCAGGCTTCATAATCTAACAAATTTTTCGATGTACCCTAAAGTAGTAATTACTTACATAGACTTGAGGCCTACACTAGACGCAGGGTTCCCGGAACGCCGCCCTCAGTGGCGAGTGCAAAGCACAAATCAGGGTCAAAAGTGGAACGTGAAATTTGGATATGATTTCGTAGTCAGATTTGCAAGAAAAACTTCAGCTACCCTTATTTCTCGAATGAGACGTCAGTGGGAGCTGTAATTTGTAATGGCAAGAAGATTGTGCAACCCTTAATTCGTATTAAAGACAATTTACGCCCAGAAACCTTGTAGTTATTAATATTTTGGTTGTAATAGAAACTATTCATTCTTTGGTGACGTCACACTCACAATATAGTTAGCATGCATACATCATAAGCTTTTCCTGCTAAGGCAAACTATGCCGCAGGGCTCGCAGAATCGGGTGCCCGACGTCCCGCGGCAACCAAAAATTTACGTCGGGCAACTCAAATTTAAAAGGGTAGGTCCCGATGGGCAACCTCTAAAATATCAGATGTTTTGCAGCGATTGAAATACAGACTATACTCTACACAATTAGTCACATAAGAATGAATGGCCAAGCCACCAAGATTGTTTTTGTGTACAAGTGTGTAATAAACTGTGTGAAAATTCGGTCAGACAGCCAAAGATAGAGACGTACGACAGCCAACAACAAAATGCAGCAATACATGTGTTTGTGTACAATCGAGCGTATGGCAACTCGTTGGAATGAGTTTCCCATGCCTGTCTAGAGCTGGCAGCATCCTTTGTACGCAAACCCAACTAGTCTAGCGCAAAAGCAGTTTTCTTGTTTCAACCATGGAGTTGATACCAACTCGTTGTACTGGTTGAAGTAACAGATATAAACCGAGTTGGGAATACATTTACAATCTGATCTTGTATTATTTGTAACTTTGAATTATTTTTAACTATGGTGGTAATTCAATAAAATCGGAATTCATTAAATTATTTACATTCATGCTTTTTTTTTGTGTTTTGTTATGTATGAGTTTTATAAGCAATTAAATCGATTGGTTGTTTGTAATAAAGAATGCTGAATTATGTTGTCTCCGTTTTTCAATATGATTATAATAATAATAACTGATGTAATAACAGTAAAAGTAGTAGCAATAATAACAACAACAATAATAATAATAATAATAATAATAATATACATCAATAAAATACATTAGTAATAATAATAATAATAACAATAATAATAACAATAACAACCGTAATAATAATAATAATAATAATAATAATAATAATAATAATAATAATAATAATAATAATAATAATAAATAATAATAATGTTCCATAGATTTATAATAATTTTACATTTAATTTGCATTCAATGTTACTTCGGAACACGTTCGAAGAATGCATACAATAATAAGTAATAATAATATAATAATATAAATATGATTAAATAATTTAACTGTACAGTTTACAGTGCAAGGATCACCCGAGGATCGTACGGTAGGTATTAATTGTTTATATGATGTACAATATATTATACAGTAGGGCCCTTAGATTTAACTGCATAAGATTCCATTAAATCAGCATATAGCCTACGGACGATAGAAAAGCAAAATCCCGAGTATCAAAAACATTTTAGATTTCCTCCCTGGATGAATAATTTACCAACGATCTACGTAGACTTGCAATCTATGCCTTGATTTAACCTACTTAGCACTGCTCTCAAAGTACACGTGCTCCAGCTAACTTTATTTTCTTTGTTACACGCATGCGTAGTACTTCATTCATGCACCAAGCACTGGTCATGATCTCATCACAGTCGTAAGTTGTTGTTAATTGTTACTAACTTTAGGCGTACATTTCAATCATCACACCCCGCTGTAGGCAATAAATAGTGTACAGTATTAATTAAGTACTTAAAATAATTATTGAATATTCTATTAATCTGCCTTTGTGGAAATTCCCATCTCAATCCCGATCGTAGGCCTATCAATTTGACACTGACATTAAACTACGCTTGATGATTGTTTACAATTTGACTGCGGTGTACCGCGAAGAAAACTTCACACTTCTTCTCCAAAACCCTATCTGGATGAAATGAATGCTTATCTTGGAAGATGCTGAAAGTTTTTGTAGGCACCGCTGATACTGCTAAACAGGAGATAAACTCTGCATATTTTCTTGGTCTAGGCCTAGTCACTTTTATTTTGATTTTCATTGCGAACGCTTCACACTGCTGTCCTTTCTATGATAACATGTGTTTCTAAAATGTTTCAAGCCGTCGTCAACTTACGATACCGACAATGCTCTGCTGGGTAAAATAAATATTAAATATTTAATTAATTTGCCTTTGTGGCAAGGCCCATCTCGATCCTGATCGTATAAATTTGACACTGACATTAAACTACACTTGGTGATTGTTTACAATTATACTTTGCGGTGTACCGCGAAGAAAACTTGTCACACTTCCATACTCCAAAAACCTATCTGCAGAAAATGCTTACCTCTAAATATGCCGAAAGTTTTTGGCTTCATTCTTGGTCTTGGGTCTTAATCCAATGTTGTTTCTCCCAGCTACTTTTGTAGAATATATGATACTTTAACTTCACCTGGATTTGCTTTATTTAAATAGTCACTGTGTTTCTCTTTTTTCAATGTTCATATAAGAAATAATCAATAAGTTATTAAAATACAGTATTTATTTATTTATTTATTTATTCTGGTTTATTCACATCGAAACATATTTCGTGGCAACACAAAGGCTGAATTGAGAAATATTAACAAAATTCGACATAAAAAACAATTATAAACAATTAAAACGATTGCACTCAACAACAAATGAAAATATTTAAAAAACAAATTGGCTAAATTTGATTTACATATCTAAAATATTCGAATGCATAACATCTAAAACAGGTTAACATCATCAATAAAAAGTAATAAGGCCTAAATTTGATATTACACTAGAATTAATTAAAATTTCATAAAATAATTCAAAATAGGGGGTGGGCAAGTAAAAAATTGTGAGGGTAACCAAAATTGAGATATTGGTTGCCCAAAGGGCAACCTAATATTTCATAATTCTGCGAGCACTGTGCCGGCGTGCTTTTTCATGGATAAACAAACACCACTACTTTGCACATGGATGCCTTGTCCTAGCTAGGGATACAAGAGCCGCATTGTTAGCATTGTATAATACGTACAAGGTACCTCTGCAACTGAATTATTCTTAGTTATTTTTTTTTTTTTTTTAATTTTTATTTCAATTTATTTCTTTCGAAAGTGTACTTTCTATCACATATTATTGCACTGTCAAGTTAGGCCTGGGCCTAGGCCTAGTCTTACTATGTATGCCTCATTGTCATCCACTACACAGTCCATAAGTAGCGGCTCCCCCCCCACATACAGTACAGATTTTTGCTGGGCAACAACGTGATTAAACCTCCCTTCGCAGTGTTCATGTATTGGCATATTGTTAGCAAACCAGTTGTGTGTATTTCTTTGTGAAAATGAGTACGGCGGCGTACTCATTTTCACAAAACATTTGCATCCCCTCTTGGAAAGAGGGAACTTCGAAATAATTGTCTCCATATCTTCGCTAATTAAATTAATCACCGTAATTTAGCTTACAATTATGAATTTAGCTAGTGCTTAAAATGTACAATAATCATTTCACTACCCGAAAATACCGAACTTTATTCATTTGGTCTACATAATAGTTTCATCTTGCTGTACTATATACTCCAACATCACTGGCGCATGGTAACAACCAACTGATGCAGACCATTTCCAGTCACACATTACTCTCCATAACACAGCTCCCCCTAGTTCTGTCACCTCTTGATAGGTAAGTTAATGGTTGACTGAATACCATTCCAACTGTTAATAGTTGCTGTGATAAATGAAGTACCTCCCTGAAATAGTTAGCAATGTAGATAGAGTTACTGCTAACAGGAGCAAAAAAAAAAAAAAAAAAAAAAAAAAACAAATTGAATGCTTCTATTTGTGATTGATAATATTAATTAGGCCTGGCCTATTTACTGTATCGTGATGATATGAATTTAGAATACAATTATATGAAATATATAGATATATTATTTTCTGTATTTTTACTTCTACTGAGGTATGAAATTAAAATAAAATGTAATGTATTAATAGATGTTTTATTGTTTATTTTATTAAATTGGGGTTACAAAATGTTAAAGCAAATTGGTACGTAAATCGTTGGTAGTAATTCAAATTTTATATCTACATATCTTTCTGATAGTATCAACATACTGTCTGCCGCCCTTTGTTGTTTATATTATACAAATTTGAAGAGAAAGAGATGAGAGGGGTCCAAAAAATCATTCATTTTGACCATAATGACATCATCAAAATGAAAAATGTAGGGACACTTTCGAAAGAGCATTGTCTGTGATATAACATACTTACAGGTGGGAGACGATCGATCACGAAAAAGCGAGATATGTCTAAATAAGTATAACAATAAAGACATCATAAATAAAAATTCCTTTTTTTATTCAGATGGAAATATGATGTCATAATGTCCGATCAGCCATAATGATCTACAAATTGGTATCTACAACTCATGTGCTTTCAGAATATGTAATAAAAATTGGGGGTCATCTTTCATCCTATGAAGTTATAAATGATCAAAAATAGGCATAACTTGACAAACAATGTCCGATCAGACATTATGATCTCTAAAATCATATCAGTTTTCTTGAATTACGATATTGGAAGTTTTATTACAGTTTTGTAAATTATGGTTAGCAATTGTTTATCAGCCTTACGATCCAGCCTACGATCGTTGCAAGGCTAATTAAAATAACAATGACCTTCGTAGTGGTTTGTAGCTACGTTCAAAACGTACCTACAAGCAGATTACGAAAGGTTACGCGCAGATACGAAGCAATAATTTCTGTCTGTACTGTAAATATCCCCGTTCTTAGGGCTTAGACAATTTTTTTTCTATAGCACATTGAAATTTTGATCTAAAATACCTTATTTTGGACTAAATAAGATGGGCATACGGGAAATAAACTTAATTTTTTACTTTTAGTCACATTTACATAAGTTACTATGGATATAAAATGTAACATCAACTTGGCTAAAAAATATTGTTTAATAGAATTAACTATCAAGATTACGTTAAATATCGATTTGTCGACTACTTCCAGAACTAATACTTTGGGACATTAAACTGTTGATCTATAGACCTATCCAAGAAGAATGGCGCCGTCTGTTGTCGACGCCATTACTGGGGAGTCAACAAGCTCAGCATAATAGTTGGAACGTGCGTCTTGTGTTTATTTTTGTGAACATACGTTTTGGGGAAATACGGCTAAAATACAGCATATGCAGCTGAATACTGCTGGCCGTCATATTTTATTACAATTTAAAGATAAGTATATTTTGTATATATTGAAAATAGAATAAAGGTAGGACTTGGGCCTAGTCTAGATTTCGCTCTCTCTGTACTATTAGTTAGTACTACTTAGGCCGGCCGGCTAGCTACCTAGGTGATCAGCCAAGATTGCTTAAAGAGTCAGTAGGCTATGGATTTAAACATGACGACGACGTTAAGGCCTATGTATCTCCTAGTTTGTCATCTTATAGTTACTATAAACAGTAGATCCTACCTAGCCTAAGCCTAAATATAGAGGCCTACCCCTAGGGCCTACCACCACCGGATTTCCCTACCTTCCACTGTATAACGCCGAACGGTATACAATTATTGCCCACATAGGGTCTAGGGCTACAGACAGTATTGTTTTTATAGGGAAGGCCTAGATAGGAATAGGAGCCTATGATGAATTTAAATATGTGGAAAGATGATGTTCGTGAATGGCCAAGACTGAATTTTCAAGGTAAGAATTTGAAAAAAAGGCCTCCCTATGATTTAGCCTAGTTAGCACAAAATGCATCCTCCTGCTGGTTTGTATTTATTTTTTATTATCAATTAGGCTAGTAGTACTGTATATTATTATTATTACTAGGCCTAGGAGTCGGACTATTTTGTTTATTTCATCTTATACAGATTACCTGTCGCTCTCCAATTGTCTCAATGCGCCAACCACCACTCCACTTCACTAGTCACTAACTAGGCCTAGCCTAATATTATTGGGAATTATGGTTTTGATGCTGTTCATTCATTCATTTGTTCTTTATTTAGCCTTTATAAAAATCAAAATACAACTATTGCTAATGTATATAGCAGCTTTTGCCTTTTTATTATTGTAATAATAAAGCTTAAAAACATTAATTCGTTAATGAGACTACTGTATATAGAAAAGTGGTCTTTAAAATTAAGGAATAAGGGTGGTGTTATTTGATTGGACTTGGATAGGTCTTTAATTATTAGAGGGAGTCGTGTATTTACATTATGACTAAGTTAATGATAAACATTAACAATTTATTTTTCCAATCTTTTTGCCAGATATTTTCAACTATTTCATTAATACACCAGCTTGCGATGTATGGCTTTCAACCACCACCGGATTTCCCTACCTTCCACTGTATAACGCCGAACGGTATACAATTATTGCCCACATAGGGTCTAGGGCTACAGACAGTATTGTTTTTATAGGGAAGGCCTAGATAGGAATAGGAGCCTACGATGAATTTAAATATGTGGAAAGATGATGTTCGTGAATGGCCAAGACTGAATTTTCAAGGTAAGAATTTGAAAAAAAGGCCTCCCTATGATTTAGCCTAGTTAGCACAAAATGCATCCTCCTGCTGGTTTGTATTTATTTTTTATTATCAATTAGGCTAGTAGTACTGTATATTATTATTATTACTAGGCCTAGGAGTCGGACTATTTTGTTTATTTCATCTTATACAGATTACCTGTCGCTCTCCAATTGTCTCAATGCGCCAACCACCACTCCACTTCACTAGTCACTAACTAGGCCTAGCCTAATATTATTGGGAATTATGGTTTTGATGCTGTTCATTCATTCATTTGTTCTTTACTTAGCCTTTATAAAAATCACAATACAACTATTGCTAATGTACTGTATATAGCAGCTTTTGCCTTTTTATTATTGTAATAATAAAGCTTAAAAACATTAATTCGTTAATGAGACTACTGTATATAGAAAAGTGGTCTTTAAAATTAAGGAATAAGGGTGGTGTTATTTGATTGGACTTGGATAGGTCTTTAATTATTAGAGGGAGTCGTGTATTTACATTATGACTAAGTTAATGATAAACATTAACAATTTATTTTTCCAATCTTTTTGCCGGATATTTTCAACTATTTCATTAATACACCAGCTTGCGATGAACAACCCAATGCAAACTATCGAAGCATAGTGGAAGGCCAAAATTATCTGAGTTCAGGATGGATTGGCATGATCCAGCATAAATTTGTTGGAAGTAAAATTATTATGAAAGGTTGTGTACGCTACTCTCAGGCGATTAACAGTTATCACTCTGTTGAAATAACTGTTAAAAGCACAACAATTACAGGAGTGAAATGCGATTGTATTGCCTCTGAAGGTAAATGCTGCAGCCATTCTGCAGGACTTGCATTTAAAGTTTTCGAGGCCAACAAGAAAGGCTTTATTGGCATGGCATGCACCGATCAGCCATGCAAGTGGAATAAAAGCACACAACAAAATGTGTTGCCTGATAGCATAGAAAATATACGCAGCATTAAAAAAAGATCCACCGAGAACAGCATGTTAAGTTTTGAAACAGATGCTGACGTTATTCAGCATCTTTCCTCATCACATCTTAAGGATCTGTCAGGCATACAAGGAACAATCCTAAATCAAATTGCTACAAGAAAACCTACAGGTGCCACAATAAATGCTTTTAATTTTGTCCATGGACTTCATAATGTCACGCTAAATTGCAAAATTTGTAGAGACATATATTATGAACATGTACATTTATCTGCAATTGAAGCCGCATCCCTTGATAAACAAACGGTAAACCAAAAATGTGCATTGCGGACATCACATAGAAAAAGGCAGATAACGAGCAGTGTAGCAGCTACGGTGCCAAAACGGCCTAAAACTGATACATCAAGGTGGTTGAAAAACCACTTTAAACCTACATTTTCAGGAAATGCAAGTACCAAGTATGGACAGACCCATGAATCATGTGCAAGGGCACAATATGAATCAGATACTGGTCAAATAGTTACTTCATCTGGGCTTGTAATTCGTCCTGAGGATAGTTGGTTAGGGGCTAGCCTAGATGGAATAATTGATGATAGCACAATATTGGAAATTAAGTGTCCAACAGATAAAAAATTGGCACATTTTAATAATTCTGTTAAATGTTTAATTGAAAGTGGTACATATGATGTGAAAATAGATAATGGAATATATTATCTCAGGCAGACCAGTGCTGCCAGTGGCTATTATACACAGGTACAAGTTGCTATGCATTGCTCATTTTGTAAAAAGTGCAAATTTATGGTGTGGTCACCTAAAGACTACATAATTGCAAATGTACATAATGACCAAAAGTGGACTGAGGATAGGATAGCATCTCTGAAAACATTTTATTTTGAACATATGCTGCCAGCTCTTACGGATATGGTACTAAAAAATGAACTCAAGTTAATTAAACTAAAAATGTAAGGATTTTAATGAAATTAATTATTGTTATATACAGTATTTATATAATCTTTATTCTGAAATAAAGAGCAGCATATGTTTTATAACTTAACATGCTGTTTTTGGTAGATCTACAGT